AGATTTACACATTTGTACCTGAACTGAAGCATAATTGATTCAGTAGTGTTCCTTATACTGTTGCACACAAATTAGCTCTTATCTCTGTGGATGTTTTACAAATATTTGTTAGATGAGAACCTGTGCTAAGTAAAAAAAAAAAAATCATCTTTTTTTTCAGAATTTTGGATTGTTAGCAAGACAAAATGTGGTGGTGCAAAGGTTAATGAAGGTCAGCCTGTGATTAAGAGGTTGCAGGTTTGAATCCCCGACTGTACTGTCATAATGTTGGTGGGGAAGTTGAGGCACCAACACCTGCATCTATCCTAAAATAAAAAATAAATAAATAAAAAGGGCAACAAAATAGTAATTTAGCTTTGATTAAAGGTTGCAAAAAGGGTCTGAATATCAAAAATACATTAATTTTAGGAAAATCTTGCACATAAAATTGCTTTTTTTAAAAACTTTTTATTTACTGAGTGTTTTTAGGATTAGTGCKAGCAATATCAGACTAGATTAAAGATTCAGGTGAAAAATCTGAAATAATTAGAAGGTTTTCTGTTTGTAACTTGCTTCCTGTTGGTGTGCACCAGCAGAAGGGTTTGCGGGTGAGGTGGGGCGTGTGGAGCCTCAGAGAGACGAAGCTGGGCCCAGCTGCCTGGCATTAAGCAATGACCTCTGCATAATGAAAGATGGCGACAACATTTCCCACTCATTACAAGGTTCCACACTGTGACAAGATTTGCATATTCATATATTTTTCCCCTTTGCCTCTCTTCCTCCTTTTTTTATGTTTTTTTTTCTTTACTGGAAATTATTTTTCTTGTGAGCAGGACATCTGCCTCCCTGACATTGCTCTGGAAGAGGAAAAATAAATAAATATGCGGCACATGATCTTTCCAGATGCCACAGAAATATGGCACGCTGCTGACGTCGTCGCACACCCCGGTTGTGTGTGTTTTCTTTGGCTTAAGCACCAGGAAATCACGTTTGGGGTCAGCAGAAATGAATACAGGTTTGGCAGGAAGATCTGAGTGAAGACCGGAGTTTATATCTGTTTTGCATAATAGTGTGATACTCCACCACACATGTTCCAGGAAAACTGGTGTTGCTGGTGATATGGCACAAAAACAAGCATTAATCTGGGTAAAATGTGCTGATCATTGTTATATTTGTGCACACTAAAACAGAAGGGTGTCTCTGCAGTCGCTAAGTAGGAGTTTCTTACTTTGTGGGAGGAGCTGGCCCAAGATGTGATTGGTCAGATTGACAGTGAGGTTGGAAGAAGAATTAAATTTTAGTCATAACTTTAGACAGGACGGTGCTAACTGCACAAATATTGAACACGTGGAGGGATGTGGAACAATTTGACTCGGTCAGAACATAACCTGTAAAGAACTTGCTAAAAGAGAATATGAATATGAATCATCAGCTGAAGCAGGAAGGTGCTAGCAGCACGAAATCTGAAGTCATTAATTTATGTTTACATGTTCACAATCATTTTTATATGAACCATTTGTTCTGTTTTAAATAGTCAATAAATCATATTATTTTCATTGCTTCCTCTTTTAATTTGCCCCACAAGACAAGTCAATTTGACCAATCGTGGTTGGGTCAAACCCCGCCCACACACCAACTCTGCTAATCATGATTAGGGCCAAAAATGGAATAATTTGGGGAGTGATGTAAAAAAATGCAGGATCATTACATTTAAGAAAATGATAAAAGCTGGATTGCTAAAGAAATATGAAACAGTATAAGGTRTATCTATATAAATTGTTGTTCTAGAGGGATTAGATGTTCTTGTCTTTTGTTTTGTTAATAACATAGATTTTTTTGTTATATGAACTTATTCTAGAGAAAAGGGGCAGATATTATAAGATTTTTTCTTCCCTGCTGCCTTTCATTTCATTTTATTTGTGATTTTGATGCACATATATACTTTTTTCTCTCAGTTTTCATTTTATATTTTTCTTTTAATTGTATATTGTATATAAAATTATTTGTTTTGTTTTAATGAAATGAATAAAGAATTGAAACTGAAACTAAAACAATGCCCAGAACAAGGAACAACTCCGCCAATCATGGGTACGGCCAACTCCGCCCACAGGAAAACATAAACTGCAGAGACTCCTACATGCATTAAAAGGAAAATTTTCTTTCAAGAAACGTTAACTCAAATGTTTTTGTTTGTTTGTTTTCTCAACTTTCACATTTATAGAAAAAAAGTTTTTGTTTGGTATACATAATTCAGCATCTAAACATTAAATACTTATAAAGTTCCACAGGAATCATAATCAGGCCCAAAATGATAACTCTGATCATTGGAATGTATGTGATAATATTGTATGTATTTTAATGCTTTAGTGGCTGTCCTTAAAAACAAACAGAAAAGGTTTAAAAAGAATAATAAGGATGATGTAAACCAGGACAAAAAGTAGGAATTTGAATCCATTCAATTTAGTTGAGCAACTTTAATTGAACTGAATCAGTCGCTCCCTGCAACAGCGCCTGCAGAGTCGCCGATCTGAATGAGCAGCAGAACGATCACCGCAGCACTTCTGGATGCAGACTGTTTCATGTGAACACCTCAAGCTGAGGGCTACATAAATATAGAATTAGACAAAGTGTTATTTTTTCTTTTTATACCCCCCACCCCCCCCCCTTTTGCAACATCCCCAGGTTCGGCTGGCTCCGAGCAGATGCAGGCACCTACTTCAAAAAGTTGCAGCTCCCTTATGATAGCTCTGCAAAAAGGTTTTCTTTTAACTTAAATCAGCAAATGTGTGGAGCACAGACCTGGCGGCGTGTTTTCTCCCTTAGAAATAATTCCTCTCAGGGATCAATTTGAAATTTAAATTGCGGTGAAATGGTGTTTGTCATTAACAATCAAATATTTGAACCAGTGAAATACCTTTGCCCCCTTCTGCGTCTGCACTTCTCTTAGTTTCAACATMTCTCACAGGCTTTTGTTTTCATGATTATGAAGAAAGAGAAAAGAACAAAATGATTTTACAACATCAAATGAGAGGGTGGAGGGAAAAATATCCTCAGATGGTTGAGCTTTACAAATAGTCAAACAGCTGAAGTTGTTTTTAGCTGTGTAGAAAAAAGTCCTTTTATGCATATAAAATTGAATATATTGTAATTTTACAAGGACAAGATGGTTTCAGTGATTCATTTGATATCCTGAAACCTTTTGGACTTTACTGTCATGGTTAATATAACACTTTAATTAGAAATAATATATTAAGTGTTTATTGTTCAGGCAGGTGGAAACACAACTTCAAATTCATTTACAAGTCATTTCAGAAATAAGATTCTGTAAAAAAATTTATAAATAATATCTTACCTGTTGTAGATGGCTCTTTGAGTGATCTCAGTAAGAAGTAGTGATGTTTGGATTGATACAGAAATATCAATACCACCAGTACCTGAACTTTATGTTCTAGTATCGATACTAAAATAAAAAAAAATACTTTGATATTTGTCATTTCAGGTAATGTATCATATGTCAGGAAAATAAAACTATTTAAATCCTGTCTAAATTACATGCGATTGCAGAGAAMTACTTTTTCTTCCASCTGGGTAATGCCTCAGCACAATTAGACGGGATGTTTAGTCACATGTTCAGTATTTTCATGTTATTATTTTCATGTAATGTAAATTAAAGCCTGCAGCACTCATTTACAGCCATCTCGTTTGGCTCGATACTTCTCTCTTCCCAGAAGGGGATGGCTGTTTGCAGGGCATGCAATTTCCAGTTAGCTTCTTAGCTTAGCCTCCCTCACAGTGGAGCTGGCGCACTACATATGTCGTGGCCAAACGTTAGCGATTGGGTAAATCAGATCCAGTCTTTTTAAACTTCAACAAAGGCCACGCCTCCARCAGGAAATCACTTCTCAACAGCCGAGAGTCCAGACCCTCTGTACGAAGCAAAGCAAATAACTAGGAGCTTTTTTTTTGCCAAGCCACTTGGTATTAGAATCAAAAAAGTAGAACTAAAGATCACTAGAACARYTAAWGTTTAAYTCTGACCTRACTGACAAGGTTCATTATGGTTCACATGAACGTTAATTTAYAATTCTTTACACCAATGCTATTTTTGCATTACTTGGAATCCTTTTAGTAGCTGAGACTCTTTCTCCCTCAGTGGAGCGTTGTGCATTTTAGATGGTGTCCCAGTTTCCTTACGTCTCCTTTTGGTTCTGTTCCTGTTTCTCAGCCTAGTATTAAATTAGTTTATGATGATGATATGCAGTCCTTCATAAGATGCTAGAATTTTAATTTCTGCTTTGTTTTGTTTGTTTTCTAGGAGGTAGCCACCGTGGACTAACTGATCTKGTCAGAATCAAACCGTTTTTCCAAATTCAAGTCGTCCCAGGATCTATCTAAAACAGGTAAGATGTTTTTTTATTCATAGGTTATTTTATTCAGACTTTGGAGTAGTGAGGTCGTCTTTGTAAATCCTTGGGTGTTTTCACTTTCATTTTCACTTCACGGCCATGCCTGTGACGGTTTAAACATGGTGGCAGAAAGGAGCAACCTCAAGGCCAAAGTAAGGTGTGTTTCCATTATGATGTGCACGAATGGCCGCTATGGCCGTTCTGCAAGACCCCGAACTTGATCTGTAATGGCTGCCCATAAAGGGAAATCATCATCAATGAAAATGACAGGTTATTAAGATCAGATTTTAGAGGGGCTATGGCTTTAGTATGATAGGTTAGCCATCTATAAAACCTTTAAAGCCAAGCTCAGAACGACATCATTTCTGCTCCCCATCTTCCCGCACCCTGTGCCAGAGACACATGCTAATAAGCTCACAACCTTTAATTAAGCAATATGTGTAAGTAGGCGGCCATTACAGCCTGATTTGTGAGCCAGTTCATTACACTAAGCACAGGCCAGAAGACACATATTCAATACAAATCAAGCTGGCCTGAAAATTATCCTGTTTAATGTGAGCCCAAAATTGATATTTTATCACTCRTCTTCTGATTAGTGACTTTAAGATTCTCCATATTTCATTGTGCCCGGGCGGTGGGACAGCTGACAACCTGCATTCATTAAGGAGTTGCAAAAGTGTTTATTGAGTTTATTACATCACAAATGGCTTGTCAGTTCACACGCCCTGGTTATGTTTTCAGTGCATCTCAAGAAGAAAACATTAGAACGTGCTGCACAACTAAAGTTGTTTACTGTCGGATCAGTCAAGCTGGCAGGGATTTGTTTATGTAAATATGACATACTAACCTAAACACACTTTTATTGGGTTATCAATTCTTAAACATAAGAATACTGGAGATATTTACATGTTTGAAACTTTGTTTTGACTAGTAAAAGACTTACTTTATTTAATTATCATTGATTGAGGTCTTGCAGTTCGAAACCAGAGCCACTCCCACTYCCTACAACGGGCTCAATGCGATGAGTCCCTGGAAAGAAAAAGCATCAACTGAAATTTGGTGAATAGAAATTAGATATGTGACTTAGATTTGCCTGAGCCTTTATGTCGCCTTTAACTGATAACTTCTTCAGAAAATGAAAACATGCTTATGTCATCACAAGTTTATTTGTATGAATGAAAAATCAGTGTTAGACTTACGACCAAACCGTTTCTTCCGTTTCCGTAGCGGGAGTGAAGCCCTCTCATCTTCCTTGTCTTCTCTCTGATGAGCAGAGCTTGGACCTGGGCAGGGTATCCCCTTGCTTCCATGGTCAGCCTCCTCTGATTCTCCAGTCACCTTCAGAAAATGTCCAACACAGGATTAAAGTCAGTCACACACCCGGAACAGACTGGAACCAAAAACAATAAAAAGCACAWTGTGTTTTAGGACACATTGGTAGAGTATGTATCGAGCATCTCAAACAGGGATTATCCTAAAAAAAAACAGCAACTGACATGGAAGTGTTGTGAAGTYAATTCTGGTYTGATAATTTCAGGAATCCTGCATGGAAACACTTGAAACAACCCAACTCGGTAGTATTTATGCCAGGCCTGTATAGCGCTGAGATGCTATTAAAACACATACAAATACAAACCAGAAATGAGGCATGGAGCATGTGCTTAAAGCTTGCACACTGGTTGTGAAATGTAAACAGAAGATGAAAAGATGGCCTTAAAGTCGTAGGTTAGACCAGTGGTTCCCAAACTTTTYATCTTCTKACCCACAAAATATYCATRGCAAAAACTTGTGACCCCAAATATTACTGGTCTGAGCACACAAACTTTGTTAWTAACCCAAAAAACAAAGGCTACACAAATATAAATACTTACTTATTTTGTGTTTTTGTAATAATTATAGGGAAAATATTACATCACCAATTATTTTATTACCCTTTAAATTGATTTCTGAAGTGAAGTGGTTCCCAAACTTTTCAGC